CTAAAAACAAACTGGGGAGGTTGGGAATCTCAACTTGGATCATAACCAAAGATGTGGCCGGGAACAGGCCGGGAACAACACTTACTCACATTAACTAGGTACATAAAGCTTGTCTAGCCTAACCAGGGGAGGGCTCCACAGGAAGCCACCCCGATGTAACATAGGTAGACCTAAAAGAGAAAATCAAGGCTAGCCCCGTTCACACGAACCAAGCTCGCCTCAGACACCTACCTTTCGCTAAAGACTGTCGAATGCAAGTTCTAATTTTCATCTTGAGGTGATGCTCAAAGAATCGGATCAGATCTTGATGAGAAAGACGGTTGCCTCGCAAGACTTCCTCCAGTCGCGTCGACCATATCACCATTCGTGCCGTGGCCAGTACCGATAGAAACACCATTCGTTTCACCACAGAATACGGGGGCGGCACATTGTCACACGCGTATGCGCGATCAATGAGCACGAGTCTTTCGGGAGAGACACGAGCCTTCAACTCGCCGACATGGTGCCATAGGAGTCGGACCCGAGGACAATGATATTACGTCGGAATTTTCCTGCTTTCGTAAACAGAAAGAGGTTTTATTCTCTAACATGATACTGCAAAGGCAGACTGCAAAACATGTCCAAGTAAAAAAAAACAAGATCGTTAGGTTCTTCCATATCTTCCATACTCAGAGGATTTAGAACCTTTCATTTCATTTCTGACCAAGCATTTAGAGACAAAATAATTAATGGCAATCTTTAATTTTTTTCTTTTTTGAAAAATCGAGATTTATTTAAATCGATATTGTTTTGGATATCTCGAAAGCGTTTTACAAGTCGTTGAAAGTCTATGGTAAATTCGGAGGAATTTTTGAACTGATTCAAGCTTACTTAGCATATCGAGAAAAGAAGATTGTCCTGAATGGCCATTCTTCTAGTTCTGTTGTACTAATACAGGTGTCCCTCAGGTCTATGGCCTTGGATCTATTTGTTGTAACTTTTCATCAATGAACTTCCTGATGACATCAATTGCTGATGACACAAAAATTTACTCCTGTCTCGATAGTAAGTCCTATCAGTTCGATAAGGTCAAATTTGGAGCTGATCTAAAAAATTGATCTACGGTCTGTTGTTAACTAGGGTAAGGAATGGATTGTTAGATTTAAGGCCTCCAAAACGAAGCTTCTCTCTGTCAATCACCTGAGAGACCCCTTTCAGCATGGCGGATACTAATCCCCATGATAGTGAATCATTACGCGTTCTCGGGCTTATATTCTCGGCTGATATGAAGTGTAAAGATTATACTGAATCCTTTACTAGGTTTGCTTCTAAGAAAGTTGTTTCACTGTGTCGTGCTGGACAGTTTTTCTCCCCTGAATCTATCTTACATGTTTACAAGTTTACCATTCTACAATGCTGTGAATATTGCTGCCAAATATCGCCCGGTGTTTCTCCTGTCTATTTAGAGATTCTTGATAAAATCCATAGAAGAATCAGCAATATTATTGGTCCTTACCTGGCATCTCGGTTTCAGTCACTGCAATGTAGCTCCTTTTCTCTAAATACTTTCATAGTAACTGTTTTGGAGGAACTCTTCGCTGTTGTATCTAGACTTTATGAGTTTAAGCGCTGTACCAGATTGGCGGCAAGGTTTCATCGACTCGCAGTTAAATTGACTAGATATAACCCTAATTTCTATGTTAAAATTTAATTTCATCGTCAGTGGAACTCTCAGTTCCATGATTTCCAGTCAAATTTGAGCATCAAAAATATACATGTAATGTCGATCGTTATCTAGTGTCTTCTTGATTACCTTTCTTTTGTTATCACTCCTGAATTATGTTTCTTTTCTTTTCTTATTTTTTTTTTCATACTTAGCAATCTCTTGTATCTTAGTGAATTTACTACCTTGCATGCAGTGTTATGATTAAAAAAAAAAACAAAAAAAAAAATACGAATTCGAATATCTGCTTTCCATTGGATTCCAGTCATTGAAAATGAAAGTTATTACGTTTTTGATGAATCATACAAGGTAACTGTTGTGGTAGGATCCACCTAATTTACATAGTGAGTACCAACCATATAAATATGGTTGGTACCGGAAAGAGAGGGAGGAATCAAGAGACTCTGCCCGACTGCGACTCAGTCAACACATTCTCCAGGAACGGTCTTACCAGGAATATACAAAAGACTATATGTAAATACTGTGTACACTTTCTTGTTTCAATACATTTTGTTCTAAGTACATTTTGTGTTGCATTATTATTCCATGCATTAGTCAAGTTTCAACAGTAACCAAAAGTTCTGTCCGTTTTTTGATTAGTCATTGAATGAAGTTGAAATATATACGAAATGCGTGTAGCAATTGTTTTCAAATTCGGACAGCCGGAAGTAGGAACATTAGAAGTTATAAAAAACACGCGCACCGTGCCCAGCCATCAGTTATAAGCCGGACAGCTGTGAGAAGGATTGAAGTGTCTAAAGATATCGTTTGGGGCTGTTTGTTTTACGACTTCCAAGTGGGCTTATCAGCAGCTGCATCAAGTCGCCGCATATGTCAAGCGTTTGGGGATAGTGCTGTGGATGAACGTACTGCAAGGCATTGGTTTCGAAAATTCAAGTCGGGAGATTTGTCTCTCCATGATGAGTCACGCAGTTAACGACCACAGGTCTTGAATGACGGAGTCCTGAAGGCGGCCATTGAAGAGGACAGTAGTTTAACGTGTGGTGAACTTGCCAGACAGTTCAACGTTTCCGATGAAACAGTTAGACTTCACCTGCACCGCCTAGTTAAGACGTACAAACTGAGCAAGTGGGTTCCGCAAACGCTGTTGGAGGTCGACAAGGGATAACGAGTGACAGCCTGCGTATCGCTGCTTTCTCGCCACCGTACCGCATCCTTATTCAATCGAGTGCTTACCAGTGATGAAAAGTGGGTTCTGTACGAAAATCCTAAGCATTCCAGACATTGGTTGTCTCCTCAGGATGCTGTCCCTCACACCGCAAGACCGCCTATGCACCCACGCAAGATTATGCTTTGTGTCTGGTGGACAGGTCGTCAAGTCGTTCATTATGAACTGCTACCAACGGTCCAAAAAGTCACTGGAGACCTATACTCACAGCAAGCCAGGTCGCATGTCGCCCGAGTGGTCAGGGATACCATACAGCAACTGGGGTAGGAGACTTTGTGCCATCCACCTTATTCATCTGACCTTGAACCATCCGATTACCACCTCTTCCACTCCCTTGATAATCATCTTCGTGGGAAATCCTTCACCAATATAGAAAGACTTGCGCAAAGGCCTCACGGACTTCTTTGCGTCAACCCCATCCCCGGAGTTCTACTGCAAGGGCAGTGAACAGCTGGACACACGTTGGCAAAAGGTGCTGGATGCCGATGGCGATTACTTCGAAGACTAAATATAAGTTAAACATACTGTGAAACGTTTTCTTTTTTTCCTTTAAAAACGGACAGAACTTTTTGGTTACCTTGTATTTAAATAAATTTAACTTATATTTGATTTTTATGTTCTTTCCGTCAAAACGGCATTAATTTCCAAACTGTGGTAATAAAATAAGCTCTTCCCATCTCCCCTCCCGCTTGTAACCATCCATCAAAATAAAATAAAGGTTTTTCACTACCAAAGGAGAATGAATCAAGTAAAGCGTCGTAAGCTTCTGCTTAAGGCTGTTGTTATATTAGGCAAACACACTAATACTCAAATAAATCTGACTTATTTTTTTATATTCTTTATGGTAAAATGTAATTATTTTCCCAGTACCTTAATATACCCTGAATATTTCATCAAATGTTGGCTGGTTAATACCAATTTTATTGCAAACACATTGATTTGTACAATAAAATAGGATATAATGTATATACATGCGTACTATTATGAATGTATACATGAGTGTGTGCGCGTGTGTGTGCGTGTGTGTGTGCGCGCTTATGTGACAAACCAATTTTAATCGATTAATGAATATACCCCTCAAATTAATGATTAATTAGTTATATTTTTAATTTTATTTCTTATTTTTATTTTTTATATTTTTTTATAATTATATATATATATATATATATATATATATATATATATATATATATATATATATATTTTTATAATTATATATATATTTATATATATATATATATATATATATATAATTATATATTTCTATTTCTATATATATATATATATAATTATATATATAATTATATATAATATATAATTATATATATTTCTATTTCTATATATATATATTTATATATATAACATATATATATAATTATATATATATATTTATTTATAATTATTTTATAATTTTAGATATGTTTTTTATATTTTTATTTTTTAGTTATAGTTTATATTATTTTTGTTTTATTATATTATTTGTACAATAAAATATGACATAATGTGTATACATACGTATTATTTCGAACGTGTACATGAGTGCGCGGGCGCGGGTGCGTCTTTATGCGTGTGCGTGTTCATGCGTGTGCGTATGTGACAAACCCATTCTAATCGATTAAACTGCCTATTTATCTACACGGCCGAAACAAAGATTAAGAAACGTTAAAATCTATTTTGTCTGATTACATTAATTTTCAATTTCATTTCCCTTTACGGTCACATCATATATTTCTGAACCGGACAATGGTCAGTTAATATCTGTGATCTATTAAATCAGAAAATAGTGACGAGGGTGGTGATGATAATAGTGATTCGCTTTAAAAGAAGATGATAGCAAGTAGATCTAGTGATTGCGGAGATGGGGAAAAAAAGCGGGAAATTTGCTGATTGGCGAATTATTTGATTTCATTGCCGCCTTGAATATATTTCATTTTCACTCCGAGCAAACACGATAAAAGAAACAGAGGAGAATAATGGAAGAGACAAAGGATGATGTGACTGGGAGGAAATAATGCATGATGGGAATCGAAAATAAAAATGGAGGAAAAAATAAAATAGGACAATGTAGAACAGAAGTGTAAAAAAAAAAAAAAAATAAGCTAAAGGCAACTACAGAATGAAAGGAGCGGAGAAAGCTAATGAGAGAGGTTGATCTGGGTGGGGGAGATAAAGGAAAATAAGAGGAAGAGAAATAGATGAAATTAAAAGGAGGAGGAATAGAGGAAAGTAAAGGGAGGAGGAATAGAGGAAAGTAAAGGGAGGAGGAATGGAGGAAAGTAAAGGGAGGAGAAATAGAGGAAAGTAAAGGGAGGAGGAATGGAGGAAATTAAAAGGAGGAGGAATAGAGGAAAGTAAAGGGAGAAGGAATAGAGAAAAGTAAAGGGAAGAGGAATAGAGGAAAGTAAAAGGAGGAGGAATAGAAGAAAGTAAAAGGAGGAGGAATAGAGGAAATATGAAAAGAAGGATAAAAGAAGTAAACATAAATAAAAGGAAAGACGAAAAAAGCCAAAAAAAAAGAGCAGAAGATAACTGGAAGGAAGGAAAATGAAGAAGAAAAAATGGAAAGAAGAACAAAAAATAAAAGCGAAGTGAAAATAAGAAAAACTGGAAAGAAAGGAAGGAAAAAGAAATAAAAAAAAGGAAAGAAGAACTGAAAAAAGAAAAAAGTACCGAAAATAAGAGAAGAAAATAAAGAAATAATAATAATAATAATAATAATAAGAAGAAGAAGCTGGAAAGAAAGGGAAGGAAGAAGGATAAAAGGAAAAGCTTGAAAGAAAGATTGAAGAATATGACAGAAAAAAGAAAAAGGAAAGGGGTAAAAGGAAAGAAAGGGAAAAGAAAAGTATTGAAGGAAGAAAAGAAGACTGAAAGAAAGCAATTGAAAGAAAAAAAACGTACTAAAAGAATATGACAGAAAGAAAGACAAAAGGAAAGGGAGTAAAAGGAAAGAAAGGGAAAAGAAAAGTATTGAAGACGAAGAAGAAGAGGAGGAAGAAGAAGAAGAAGTAGAAGAATAAGACGATAGAAAGGAGAAAGCAGACTGAAAGAAAGAGAAAAAGTACTGAAATAAATGATATAAAGAAAGAGAAAACAAAAAGAATTGAAGAAGAAGAAGAAGAAGAAGAAGAAAGCAAAGTGAATATAGACAAAAGAGAAAGAAACCCAATATAGAAATCGAAAATAAAGATGAAAAATTAAAATGTTAGAAGGAAGGAAAACTAAGTAGTAATTGTAGTAGAAAAAAATAGTAACTGCCGTAAAAAAAAGAAGAAAAGAAGAAGAAATTAAAACGAAGAGAAAGAAAAGAATAAAATAAAGAACGAAAGTAGAAGTATTTTTCTGATTGTAAGTATTATTTTCTTTGACCTTAAATTTTCCCCATTAGCCATATGTTGTGTCCATGGCATTCTCACCATTTGTCCGTAGAACTACATCATTGTCACTTCAAGTCTCTTCTTCACCACTGAGGAGATTGTCTAAAATTTAATGAGATATAGGCTATTATATATTACATAGCACTTATTATTTCGAACGAAATTTTCCTATGGATTAATACTTTGCTTATTTTCTAGATGGTATTTTTCGTTATTCCTATTCCCGTTTCCGTTGTCTGCTGCTACACTATCCAGATAATTTAATTTCTGTGTCTACTTTAACATTGCAGGGAATAAAGTTAGAATATGAGACATCTTTAATTTAATGAATGGTTACACCTCCAAAAATTTAGATGTCCAGAGCCTGTCAGTTGGTCTCTTCGCTAAACTTGCTCTCAAAGGTCACTGGTAGAAAGAATGACCTGACTGATTTAATATCGCCAAAAACAAAACTAGTAACGTTCCAACACCAGTGAGCAGACCCCAAATTTATTCCAGAGCAGTTGTATTCTTAATGGGGACTAAAGTTAACGTCAGAGACTAAGTGGAATTTTTATTTTTATATCATCGCTAAAAATGCACAACTCCAGAAAGTACCTACTGCCTGTTATGGAGTAGTTTCACAGCGGAGGCTTGTAGTTGTACTAAAATCGGTCCTAAAATAGGTTCGATGTACAAAACGTTAGGAACTTGATATAATAGTTAATGACGCAGAGAAATCTAGTAGTGGTCGCTGATACTTTAATATCCGACTAACGGTCGTCCGACATCGACTGATTGACCAACTCACTCAGCTACTACTCCTACTTATTATAGGTGGGAGAGTCTATTAACTATAGAATAGGTGTGTTCCACTATAACACTGCCATGCTTACTTTTGCATATGAAACGTTGTTCGCATCTCGCTACCCCATCGCTGTTTCTGTGGCAAATATTCAGACGAACCATATACTTTAGTTCCACCAGTTCAGATCTTCACAGCTATGAACCGCCATGCCACGTTGCGGTCTTTATATTTCATTGGTGAGGAGGATGTTAAACACAGAAAGTTTCTTCCCCAGAACTATCACTTTGAGGAACAGATTCCTGAAACGATGTTTCTGCGGTCAATACAATTTTAAGCTCCTCAAGTCTAGGGTCAGCAGTTATCTATCTTATACACGAGGTATATTCCAGAAGTTTTGAGATATTTTTCTGAGGCGATATTTATTAATTTCAAAACTCTAATCTCCTTCATCCAGATCAATATTCTACGATCTTTATCAAGCTGTGTAGATCGGAATTATAGAACAAAAGGTAAGTATCTGGTGAAATTTGAGCTCTCATCTTTTGGATTTGTTTCGATATTTTCCAGGGATACTACGCTTTATTTTCATTGAACACCTTTATTATTATTATTATTATTATTATTATTAATATTATTATTATTATTATTATTCTTAATAATAATAATAATAATAATAATATATATATATATATATATATATATGTCATTCATGAACAGTACTGTTTCGCTGTATCACAGCTCCTCAGTGCGACTAGACACCCGAATGCCTCAAGCTAAGTTGAAACCCAACCAATTTGGCGTTACTCGTAGCGACAGTTGTAATATTATTTGAATTTCAATTAACTTGTCGTAGCGTTCCAGTCACTTCTTGAAGGTCCTATGCAAGTCATCCAGCCTTCAGTACCCTTGTCACGGCCTTCTTCATCTTCAAAACGACTTCACCTAAGGTTCTTCAGTTGAATAAAAAGTCAAAATCCAAAAGCAGCAACGTCTCGATTGTGGGGAATGTGATGGATTATTTTGATACCGATCTCTATCAACACAAAACTTTGTTGAATAGCGAAATTTCAAACTGTGTTCACGTCCCAGCTGCATTCTGCAAACTAGTCAGCTATGACAAGCATTGTTTAGTGGGGGTGTCCAAAGGAGTTGTTACAACTGTCTCCTTTAATCTGGAATAATAAAAGTTGGTATGTCATCTTTTTCGATGGATGTAACAATTGCAATAACTTAAAACTGTTTCAAAACTGTTTCAAATCTTCTGGGATGCACCTTGTATATGCATAATATGCATTCATTCCTCCTACCCCATTTCAACAATCCCATCTATCAACCCTTTACCGTAAGTGGCTGTTGGATATGGTATGGCAATAGTATATATATATATATATATATATATATATATATATATATATATATATATATATATATATATATGTGTCAGTCTGTCATTATTTCTCTATGAAGCTAGCTAGCTAGATATCAATCTATCTATATCAGTTTGTCATTATTTATCTATCACAGTCTGCCATTATCTCATCTATCTATATCTGTCCTTTCTATCTATCTATCTATCTATCTATCTATCTATCTATCTATCTATCTATCTATCTATCCCAATCTGTTTCTTTCTTTCTGTCTTTTCCAGTGTGTTTCTTTCTATCTCTCTCTATCTCCTCTCTATACACACACGCATATATATATATATATATATATATATATATATATATATATATATATATATATATATATATTTGATACTTTAACTCAATTTAATTTTAATAATTATATTGAGATTTTTTCATCTCTAGTTTATGAAACATGAGGACTCTTATATAGCAAAGGAACCATATTTTTTTAAAATAATTATAATATATATATAATAAATAAATAAAATATAATTATAATATATATATATATATATATATATATATATATATATATATATATATATATATATATATATATAACAAATTAATCCTGATTTAGATTTTTATAACATACTTTCGGTTTTCTCAGGTGTCTTTCGTGCTTCGTAAAGTTCTGGAAATATAAAACCGAACGCTTTGTTCAATGCATAATGGCTCTCATTCTGTTGTTTCTATCAAGAGTATTTTACCAATTAATCCCCCCTACCTCGACAATTGTTCAAGGTCTTCTGCTGCTCCAAGAAGTACTTGTCTTCACCTGCTCTATCTTTGACAGAGTCAGACCAAATAGAAAATGGCGTATTGTTGCCGTGTCTGACTTGGAGTTACCCTCTCATTCCCGTCTTGCCAGTGTTCAAAAGCGTATATACAGCCCTGTTGGCGATTAATTATTTTCCTACCTACAACCCATTGCTCCACAAACGCAACATCGCAAACCTACCGCGACTCTATCGCCATTTTCATGAGCAAATTTTCTGACCACCTACATTCGTTCCTGGACATTTACAGCTAACACACTACATACCGTATGCACAAGTGCGAACCATCATTATTGCCAATTATATTACAATGGCAAGAAGGAAGGTTCTTCCTACGGATCGCTACTTTATGGAACAGACACTAGAGAAGATGCTTCCTCCGAAAACTACAAATTTAACCTATCAAGTCTAGGGCCAAACATTACATATCGAATGTATCGTCAAAATTTACACTAGACTTCCGCTTTCCCCATACTTAAGTCTATAGAACCTCATTTAGTAACCTTCTTGCTTCTTCTGTTAGGTGAACATTTAGTAAAAAAATAAATACGTAACAGGACTTCACCTTCTAGTTCTAGAGATTGAACTCACAGCCATCCAGATAAATATTCTCCGAGTTTTATCAAGCTGCGTACATCGGAATTAAAGAACAAAAACATCTCAGGTGAAGTTCGAGGTCACGTCATTTGGATTTGTGTTTCTATACTTTCCAGGGATTCTACGTTTTATCAGAGATTGAAAGCCTTTTTTTATTATCTACATTATTTGGACTGTTATCCCCATCTTCATTGCCATATCGTTTCGGCCGTTGTACGCTCCGGCCTTCGAACTTCGATCCGAACCTTTTATTTCGTCCACCGGGGTAGATTGTGTTAGTTCCACGTGTCATGCCTCTTCAGAATGTCTCACTTATTCCCCTTTAACTCAACTCTTCAAGTTTTTGGGTCCACCACTGCTGTAGCTTGGTATTGAACTCACAAAACTTTGGGTCTAGTCATTGGAACTAACCAACGTCTTTATCCACTGGGCCATGTGTCCTTGAATCACCTGAAGAAATGCCGGAGCGTACAACGGCCGAAATGTTGTGAATATGGCAATGAAAATGAGGATAACAGTGCGAATAATGTAAATA